TTTTTCATGGATTATTTTTTTCTGGAGCATTTTAATGGGTTATTTTTCATGGATTATTTTTCATAGAGTATTTTTCATGGATTATTTTTCTGGAGCATTTTAATGGGTTATTTTTCATGGATTATTTTTTTCTGGAGCATTTTAATGGGGCTTTTTTCACGGGTTATTTTTTTTGGAATATTTTAATGGGTTATTTTCCACGGATTAATTTTTATGGAGGATTTTTCATCAGAGTCCAGCCTGGCAAACGAAATGCGAGGAATTTTATCCAACTTTAAAAAAAACCTCCGGGAAACACGGACTTTGGGGAGCAGCTCTGAGTTCCCATGGCCTCTTCCCACCCTTTCCCAAATTCCTGGCCCTGGGTTTGGAAAGGCAGGAATTTTCCCGACTCACGGAAGATCCCGGCGAGCTCGGTTCTCCTGGCTCCCCCTGCAAGGAAAGTGGGGATGAGTTACCCTGGGATAGAGCTGAGAGCCCTCTGGAAACAGGGAATGCTGTAGGAATTCCGGAAAAGGCACAAGGGCAGTGGGATATCCCAAATATCCCACTGGAAAACAATTGATTTCACCGGCTTGGAGAACATCTCTGACCTCCATCCTGGAATCTTGGAATACCCAGGCAAAAAACTTGAATTTTCAGGAAAAAAATTGGAATTTTTGGGTGAAAAATGTGAATTTTCTGCTGGATTTTCTCTGCTGGATTTTCCTGAATTTTGGGTTTTTTGGGCGTTTTTGGTGTCTGACATTCCAGCAACTCCTTACTGACCATTCCAGCCTGGCAAAGATCCCAGAGTGCTCTGCTCCATTAAAATTTTCAGATTTTCCTGGAAAAGTGCAGCTGCTTTTCCAGAGCCTCCATAATTTCAGCAATTTTGGGGAGGGAATGAGGGATTACATCCCATGGGAAAAGCGGGATGGGATTTTCCACCTCCATCCTGGCAGGAGATGCCTCAAGTTTGGAGTTCACCTTCTGTCCCACGGGTCCTCTGCTCCCAAAAAGTCCCATCATTCCCTTGGATCCAGCTTCTCCTTTGATTCCCTAAAATAAATTTTAAATAAAAATGAAATGAAATTTAAAATTTTAAATAAAAATTAAATTTAAAATTTAAATAAATTTTAAAATAAATTTTAAAATAAAACACATTGTGAGCACCTCCTCTCTGCAATTTATCCATGGAAAAACCCATGGAGAGAACCAAGATGACCAAAAGCATCCCAAAATTGGAAATGTCCATCCCAAAATTCCATCCCAGGGGTTGGGAAAAATCCAACAGTGTCAGGAGTTGGCAGGAAATCCTGGGAATGGTTCTGGAAAAGATTCCAGTGGTGGGGATTGAAGGAAAAAAAACAGGAAGGGGGTTATTTTTCATGGATTATTTTTCATGGATTATTTTTCATGGATTATTTTTTCTGGAGNGGGTTAACCCGTGGTTATTTTAATGCACAATCACAGGGAATAAAGAAGAGGAGCTGGAAGCCCGAGCCCATGATCCAAATGAGGAGTTAATGGGAATAAAAGGCAGCAATTGGAACATAAAAGAGGGAAGCGAGGCAGGAACAGCAAAATAAAAAGGGAGCAGAGCTTTTAGAAAAGAGGGGGAAGGAGGAGGAGGAGGCGCCCGGAATATCAAAACCGAACCCGTGTGGGAAGTCAAGAGGATCCATTGAAATTTTCCGAGGAATAATTGCAGGGAGAGGACACGGATGCTGTCAGCTCTGCTGGGAACTTCCACGGATCAGAAAAATCGGGAGAGTAAATGGATGAGGGCGCCGGAATCGCCGCCAGGGAGTTCAGCAGGAGCAGCAATTGTGGGCAATTTGTGGGAATAAAAGATGGGATTAGAGGGAAATGAAGGAAAATGAGGAGCACGAGGCTCTGCCTGGAAGATTTGGTGCTGGATCCAGGCAGGATGGGAGTTCTGTCCTCGGGAAAAGGGGATTTGGGAATGAGGGACAGCTCGGGAATAACTCAGGGAAGGAATAATCAAAGTGGGAGCTGAATTCCCGTCAGGATCCTCCCTCAGGTCCCTGAAGGGATGGGAATGATGGGTGGGAATTCCCTAAATCTTCCAGAAATCCAGTGGGAAGTGAATCTGGCAGAGGCGGGATGAATTCCAGAATTTATCATGGATCCTCCAGCAGCGTCCCAGCTCGGAGCTGGCTTTGGCAATTTTGGGAATGTGATGTGGGATCAAACCCCAGCTTGGAATCCCGGGATATTTCCAAAAGGAAAATTCCTTGGCTTTGCTCAGAGGGTGGATGGCAGGACACCGCTCTGTGGGAATGATTATTCCCAAATTCCAGGGAAAACCAGGATCCCTTTGCACTCAGCAACCTTTGCTCCATTCCTGGATGGATTCACTCCATGGAGCCAAAAACAATTCCATAAATATCCTCAATATTTAATAAATATCCTAAATATCCTCATAAATATCCTCAAGAAGGTTGTTAATAATTATTAAAAACAATAATAATTAATAAAATTACTAATTGGATGAGGGCATTTCCTCAGGGAGCAATTCCCACTCGGAATTCCAGGCCTGTCAATAATTCCGTGGCTGTGACCAGGAATCAGTGGGGATTTATTTCTTTGGACAACCTTGGAAATTTGGGGTTTGGGCCTTTAATTTAAGAGCTGATGATCCTGGTGGGTCCTTTCCAACTCCAAACATTCCATGATTCCACGATCCTGAGAGTCCTTGGAGCTTGGAGACTTTTCCATTTGGGGTGAATACACCAAAGGCATTAAAAACATTAAATAAACGTATTTTTCTTGCGTTCCTTCATGCAAAATCATGGAATTGTGGAAGGTTTTGGGTGGGAAGGGACCTCAAAGCCCATCCCAAGGGCAGGGACACCTCCCACTATCCCAGGTTGCTCCAAACCCTGTCCAACCTGGCCTTGACACTTCCAGGGTTGGGGCATCCATAATTTTTTGGGAATTCTGTGCCAGGACATCCCAAACCTCACAGAGAGGAATTTCCTCCACAAACCTCTGGCTGTGATCCCTGATATCCAGGCTGGTTTTCCAACAATGGGTATTTTAATGGGTTATTTTTCATGGATTATTTTTCATGGATTATTTTTTTCTGGAATATTTTAACGGGTTATTTTTTCATGGATTATTTTTTTCTGGAGCATTT